AAATTATTAGAAACAAATATTTTCAAATAACATGAACAATTCTACTGTCATTTACATTTCCCTTGTTTCAATTTGCGAAGTCTTTGCTTTTCCATTTTCCAAAACTTTAGACCTGGACGTTTTCGAGCTTTCACATTTGCTGCCACCAGGGCAAGTTCATCTACAGTGTTATCTTTAACATATTGAGCACTTGCTAAACGAACTGATGAATGAGATGGAATATACCGATCTTGAAGCACAATACCTTCCAATAAATTTAATTCTTCTTCACTTCTCTGAAAATAAATAACCTATGATACCAAAGTACGAGAAAATATATACAATTCTAAAAGATTGATTAATATGCACTCCTGCAGACATGCCAAAACATTGCAGAAATTAGTTGCATTGGTAATTTAAGTGAACAAGGCCAGGAAACGCCAGACATTATAAGTTTTTAATTATCATGCAGATAGTTTACAAGATCGTAGATTTTATCCTTATTTTTTATTTTTCTCCATTTTCGCAGTTTGGCCTTCAATTTTGGTTTTATGTTTGCATTCAGCCTTGAACCTAGTACTCAAAAAAGAAAACATGTGTCGCACACCCAAGACATACATATTTTTTATTTCCTATGTCCAATATTAATTTGTTTATGTGAACAGACAAATACTAATTGAGAGATTCAGAAAATTAGAAATTCCACGAAAAGCACATGAAGAATATTTTTTAAAATCAAATTGAAAGTTAAGTCATCTTTACCAAATTTTTTTACCATTTTTATTGATCGTATTACAATTTCCTAAAAACCACCAATACTAGTTGAAAAAATAACTACGTGCTGTAAATTTTGCTGTGAGTTTAATAGTAATTATGTGTTTATTTGCATTTTACATTAAAACCTACCTTTTCCTCAAAAACCCATTGATGTTTTTGCTCGTACATTAACTTAGCCTTTTCTGCCGATAATGGCTTTTCGAACTTTATTTCTTCCAATTTCTTCAATTTATTTGCAACTAGCTGAAGCATGGTCAATGGATTGGGTGGTTCTTCGAATTCGGGTATACTTTTTAAAGGTTTTTTACTCACTTCTCTAAATGCAGAAATCATTTCTGCAAGTCCTGCATTTTCTTCTGAATTATTGATATTTTCTTCGGTAAGGCTGTATGTGAAAGGTTTCGTTATTACAAATAAAAATGAAGTATAACTCTAGTGCTGTAAAGAGGGGCTTAGATGATCCACGGTTACAAAGGTGCAACCACAATTTCTCAAAAACAAGTAAAGTTGATTTTTTTCAACAAGAATATTTTAATTAAGAGTGTAAAAGATGTATACTCGTATTCTTTATTCATACAAAGTTACTATCGGGAAATAAACGACAATGTTTAAAAATCTATCCATAACAAAAGTATTTTCTTACGTTGTTTTTTTTTAGTTGTGAGTACTGTTAGTTTATTGATTTTTTTATGTCCTATGGAAGCTTACATTCTTCTTATATTACTATTTAAGTTAATGAGTTCACTAATATGGTTTTGTATTATCTTTCTAAATATTTTTAATCTTACAATTCTGAGTTGTATTAACATAGAAAATCTTAAACGATCAAAATTGGTATAAATAATTTGCAAAGTGTAAAATTACTACATTCTAGAAATACTCTACTTACCATACTGGTTCCAAAACTGATAATAGATTCTGAACTCCCTGTCGAACATTTATAATCCATTGAGCTATATTTGATGATTTTAGCTTAAAACGTTTATGTTTTTGTTTCTGAAGTTTTGTTTCATTCAAAATTAATTTTATTTTTTCTAATTGTTTAATTCGTTCTTGATTATAATCATGTTTGACTTGCATAAGCGTTATGTTAAGTCCTATCATTTTTTTGTCTAATTTTTTCTTTAATTCAAGTTGTTGTTCTTGATAGTCTGCTAATCGACTGCTCAATATTTTTTGTTGTACCAACTGAGGATAAATTTCGGCAATCCTTCAAAATTAAATTATATTTGATGTTAAGAGTTTTTTGTCGTTTTTATAAACAGTAAAAATTCATAATTACCATTTGTGTTAACTTCCATTGTATACAATTTGAAACTTTTAAATTATTTCATGCAGCATTTTATATAACGTTTACTTAGTTAAAATACTAAATTATATATTATTGTAATATTGTTTTTTTTTTGAACCTTACGTCCTATGAGCTGTTGGGCTGAAACATCTTTTTACTTCCTATTTATTTTAGATGGTAACCCAATGGTTAATCCATCCATATTTGATGATTTTTGTTATTAGACCTAATCTAAGAGGGCTGACTTTTTATTGGTGCAGCAATGGTGGACAAGGGCTATTTTCACTTGGAAACATATTAATCTATCTATATTTCCAAGTGAAAATCGTCGAAAGTGGGTATCGAACCCGGGACCACTGAAACAAGTCCCGTCGCTCTTAACCGTTTACCTACGGGCGAGCCTCATATAAGTTGACAATAATTTTCATTCTAAATCGATACATAACTGTGATCTAAATGTGTTCTAAAAATTGTTGTATAAAGTCTGTGGTTTTTCATAGGATTCGGATTACTAGTTAGCAATTTGCTATACCAGTTTAGAGCAAAATATAAGGTTGTTCGAAAAGTCACTTCATGTTTTTACCACCTGAATTTAACTATATTTGTAAGAACCTAACATCACACTTAAGCCCTTAATTATTATATGATTTGAAACCGTATATTTTAAGGCTTGTGTGTAAAAATTTTTAATCAATTATAGGCAGTAGTTTTTGGATGGTGCCACTTTGAATGCGGAAAGAATTAAGCAGCATTTTTTAAATTGATCGATGTGTACGGAAATGGCGTGTTGATAGAACGATACTGTCAAAATTGCTTTGCTAAATTTCATTCCTGGTGTTTTGATGTTAAAGATGCAACAAGTACAAGAAGTACGGTTGAAGCTGATAAAGACGCGAGAAAGGCATTAGTTGATGCAAACTAACGAATAACAATACATGAAGTCCCATTGAGTAAGAATTTATCAAATTTAACAGTTTATGACCACTTGAAAGGTCTTGGATTTGCCTCGAAACTCTATGTATGGTTCTCATAGAAAGAAACGTATGTCGTCGCACTGGCGTCCACGATTTGTCTCTGAAAAGTCTTGAAAATTATCATGTTTAGAAGCGAATTGTCACTAGGAATTTCAAATGAGATGTAAACAATACAATACAGGCAATCGCCATGAAACAAAAAAAGAGCCTGCTCAAAATAGGTGCAAAGCAGAAATTTGCCAGAAAAAGTAATGTAGGATGTTTGGTATGATTTTAAAGGAATTACTTATTTTTCAGCTATTTCATGATAACAAAATGGTAATTCGTATGCCTTATGTCATCAGCTGGATAAACTTAATGATATACTTCAATTGAAAAGGTCAGAAATAAGCCATAAGCAAGGTAAAATCTTGCATCAAGACGACATAAGTCTTGTCAATCGACAAAAGCTTTTGAAGCTAGAATGAGACTCAATGACACAATCATCATATTCTCCAGACCCGCTATCATCGGACCATTATTTGTTCCAACCACTAAAAAAAATTTTAGGCTGTAAAACCTTTACCTAAAATCATCCTGTCAAAAAGCACTTTGATCAGTTTTTTGCCAATAATGACCAATACATTTATGATTTCGGAATTATGTTAATACCAGAAAATTAAAAAAAGATGTTCGATCAAAACTGTCAATACATAATTTATCGAAGTAATTGTTTATTGTACGAAAATTACGTGTCAAAATGTCTATAAGAAACGTTACTTTCCAAACCACCCAAACATGAAATAACTACAAATATTATTTTTGCATTTAATTATTTTGAAGTTTGGGTTTCATATGTCATCACAGAAATCATTTCACCTATATAGTACGTCTGATTACCTCAAAATTAATTTTTACGTTTTCATATTTCAGTTCATGTAATAATTGCACTCATGTCCCTAGTATTAGTACTTCTCAATATTTCTATATTGATTTGTCATCCTAACTAATAGATAAATATAATTTTCTAATAATAATGAAGAGTTTCACCTTTCAATTCCTAAATTGTTTTGTATCATTTCCAATGCAGCTTGGGCTGATTCTAATTCTTTTGTGAGGTCATCAGTTTTATATTTCAGATAGTCGTCTTTCTCCTGTATCCGTTCACTTGATGTTAATAAAGGAGTCTTTTCTGTAAAGCGCTTCAAAAGTTCTGCACCCGATTTTAAATCTTTATTTCTTTGTATGAGATTTTTTTGTATATTAATTTCCAATTGATGAAATTCCAGTGTAATGTCATCAACGCTTTCGGTGACCAATTGACCCATCTCAGTGACAACTATCAACATTTTCCCTTGTGCTTTCGCATCATTCTCTAAGCAGTCGATTGCGCAATCATAAAACATGTTATCTTTACGCAATATTGCAAGAATCTGGAAAATTTTAATTTTTATATGATTATAAAATTTTCAAGATTGATCCTATAACATACAGAGTGTTCCAGAACTCAACGTTAAGCCAAAACGGGATGATAGTGTTTTTAAGTTTTTATTTTTTTACTCAAATTTTTTCAAGTACTTTACCATTTTACAGTCCTGATGACGCTAACTTTCAACGAAACTTGTCAATATTTTTGAGTTTTAAATTCATTTTTCAACAAAAAGTCTCAATTATTAAAGGCTCATATAATTCAAAACACGTGAGATATTTTTTAACTTCCCTTAGGGTAAGTTATAGTAATCGCAAAAAAAACGAAAATGAAAATTTTTATATATCTTAACGTCTCAAAGGTTTCTGAATATTTTGGCATAAAAAAAGCATTCCAAAAAGGAAAAAATTGATAAATACTAGGTTCATTAAACCAGTGTGGTGGGATGACGAATGCAATCAGCTAATAAAGGAACGGAGAGAGGGTGAAAAAGCTTATAGACAGGAATCCAACTATAAAAACTATTTAACGTGTGAGAATATAAACAAGAAAATCAAAAACATCACTATCAATGGCAAAAAACAACTATGTCGTTGCTCTATTTAGCGATATTAAAGGTGCGTACGATAACGTCCTACCAGAGGTGCTAGAAGATACTCTGGCTAACACTGGACTACCAGGAAAATTCATAAACTCAATTACGACCAACATCCGAGAAAGAAAGATATTTTTCCGAATAAATGGGAAACTGATAGGGCCGAGAAAAATCTACAAAGGCCTACCACAGGGAGAAAGTCTTAGCCCCATCTTATACTTAATTTATGTAAGAGACATAGAAAAAATATGGGAAACAGGTACCAAAATATTACAATTTGCAGATGACGTCGTGATATATATAGAAAAATCAAGCCTCCAGGAAGCCTATGAGGTGATGAGCCGTAACATAGATTTCTTCCATGAATGGCTCGCAAAGAAAGGACTTGAATTGTCGGACGAAAAAAGCTCAATCGGAATCTTTACAAGACGCAGGAAGCTAGAAGAAAGAACAGCACTAACGACTAAATACCATACAATCAAAATACAAGAAAATAATAAATTTTTGGGCGTCACATTCGACAAAAAACTATCTTTCAAAGCACATATAAATCAAGTAATCACAAAAATTGAGCCAAAAATCAACATTTTACGTATGGTAAATAGGACATGGTGGGGAGCTCACCCTACCACAGCCCTGAATTTGTATAGAACAATAATTAGACCATCATGGGAGTATGGAAGTCTAGCTTTCAGTAACTCTTCTCACTGCAGAAAGCTAGAAAAAATTCAATATAAATGTTTGAGACTGTGCATAGGGGCAATGATTTCCACACCTACAAACGCCTTGTTGGTGGAATGTGGAGAAATGCCTTTACATTTAAGATTCCAATATTTAAGTGATAAATTTGTACTTAAAAAATACCAAGTACAAAATAATAGAACAATCGAAAATATCAAGAATGTAGCCATAGATACATTAACAAGTGACTATTGGAGAAATCGTCCAAAACCAAGCTTGGTATATAGCTATATAAAAGTAATTGAAACAAGAGGAGACACAAATAAATACAATAAACACCCGTATTATAACTTTTTCACATTAGACAACAGTTATACGATAGAAAAAATATTCAATACGAATACAATCAACATAGAGGATTATAAAGTTATATTTACAGACGGGTCAAAAATTAATAACAAAACTGGCTGCGCTTTATTTTATGAAAACGATAATATCAAAATAGGATATAAACTACCAGACTTCGTTTCAATTTGGTCAGCCGAGCTAATAGCTATAAAAAAATCAATTGAATATATAGAAAGCCACAAAATCACTAAAGCGGTCATCGTTACCGATAGCAAAAGCTGTATAGATAAACTGAAAAATCTATTCCTTACTAATCGACTAAGCGAGACTTTGGTATATGAAGTATGGAATAGACTTATACAGCTTTTGGAGAACGGGTATACAGTCAAATTATTATGGACTAGATCGCACTCCGGTTCTAGTGGAAACGATGAAGCGGACTCCATAGCAAAATGGGCAACAGAATACGGAACTATGATCAACCTAGCCACTAGGAAAGACTATATAAATAATTCAAAGAAAAAAATACTGGAAAAATGGCAAGAGCAGTGGAACAGATCGTCGGAAACAAAGGGACGACACTACAAGGCAGTCAACCCCAAATTGAAGATGAAACCGTGGTTCCGAAAATATGCAGATGAAAACAGAGGTACCATCGTAACAATAACAAGACTAAGGCTTAACCATGGCAACTTCCCTGCACACCTGAAGAGGCTGGGAATAATAGAGTCAGAATCATGTCCTTGTGGAGCATCAAGCGGAACATCTGAACACATCATACTAGAATGTAGTATATTTGAGGCAAGCAGGGCTAAATGGTTAGAGGAACTACACTCCATAAAAACACTGATTAAACCCTTTAATTTGACATCATTATTGCAAAATCTGAACTGTTATCCTAATATAATTAGGTTTGTTAATAATAGTAAAATTAAGTTGTAAGTGACCAATATACTATATATGTTACCTGTATATTGTACATTATGTATGTGGCTACATGTTTACCAGAGGCCAATAAAAATAAAAAAAAAAAATAAAAAAAAAAAAAATAAAAATGTTTTGGCATACCTTAAAAAAAATGGACGTATGTGTGTGTGCGTGCGGATACAAATTTTTGTCGATTTTGGGAACACCGATCAACTGATTTGAATAATTAAAAAACTTTTAAGAGAACGAAGCGTCCGATTTTAACAATTCAAAAAACATTTTACTTGTATTGACAAGATGAATAATTACAAGATTAAATTTTTGGGAAGGCAGGCCCAGCGGTTATAGACTCTCAATCAAAGTAAGTTAAAAAAATGTCATTTAGCGGTTAAAAAAGTTTACTGGACATATGTAATTCAAATTATCAGATATTATATATAGATTTTTAATAATGTGCAAACATTTTGTGTAAATTTTTTTTGTTTCGTACCAAGATTTTAATTACGGTACGGAAAGTTCCAGAATTTGCCTTAAGGCATGTTGCCATGCACCCCGCTAATTTTCTAGGACAGCACTACTCAATACTATCATCTCATCTCAGCTTGACGTTGAGTTCTGGTACACCCTGTACTGTATATGTAATGATTTTAAACATTGAATTTTGAATCTATGTATCTATATGCATAAATAAAATTGAAGTGTCTGTTGGTAATAATAATTATGCAGGTTTTAATAGACGTATATAAATATATATTGGAAGTATATGCAAAATGAACATTTTTGAACAATTTTGGCAGTTCTGCCCAAACAATCCACCTGTTTGGTTATTATCTAATCTTCGAAATGATTCAAACGATTTTGATGACACTTTGGTCGTAACTTATATAACATTTACTCTAGAAAACAGCATCTTATTTTATACTATTTTATCTGATACAAAAGATAATTTAAATTTTGAATTTTATTCATCAAATTCAAATATTTTAATAATCTAATATATCATCTTATATATTATGATTTATGAAAAATGCCCAAATTTAATTCTGAACTATTTTGATATATTTGTTTAAAAATACCTTCATGCATCATTATTTAAATTTATTTTATGAATATTATCTTATTGATATAAATAAATTTATTTGATATATTTGAATATTGTATTTGACTTAAAACAAGACAGTTTGTATTTTTATACCATACGCAAGATTAAAATTTTATTTTATTTCATACGAAAGTTTTCAATGAGATTTTGAAGGTGCAGTCTTGTGATTCTGCCAAGTGTTTATTTGTTCTAAAAAAATTATATCCATATCTATTCTTTATCATTTATCATCTTTACGCAAGATCAAAATTTTATTTTATTTCATATGAAAGTTCCCAAAGAGATTTTGAAGTTGCAGTCTTGTGATTCTGCCATGTGTTTATTTGTTGCAAAAAAATTATATTTATATCTATTCTGTGATATTTTGTTCAAACAATAAGGAATTAAATTGGTTATTGGTATATTGAATTTATTAAAAAAAAGTTGGAGACTAAATAAATGTGAAATACCAGGATTAGACCGATTCTCCTTACCCTTTAATTGTTTGAAACTAATTGTACACTTATTATTAAAATGATTAAGAAAGTAGTTTCTGGATGAAAAATGAGTAATTGAGAAAAATTGTATAAAAACATTTTTTGGTAAAAATTCAAGCAGGGTATAATTATTCTGCTGATTCTTACCTTTTCATAAGTATCGCGAACGGATATCGCAGCTATTGAACGATATTTGCAATTGTGTACTTCAACACATTTAGTTTGCATAGCTTTTTCTTGAGCTGTTTTAAAACCAGAGCTGTTCAGCAATTTCAAATCTTCTAGCCTACTCTTCATTAATAATTTGTTCTGATAGTCTTCCATCATCTTGTTCTTTTAAGTTCAAAGGATATTAAAAGGAATGCATTAAATATAAATATTTTAGCATATTATGTCAAAACAGTAAAAAAATCTATATTATTTATTTATTAAATCATATATCTAATCTATCTTTTACCTTTTGGTAAATCATTTTGTCCCTTAATTTTCGTTTATTGAAAGCCTCCTGAGTCAAGTGCTCCTTGACGACAAATACTGGCTTTGTGGCGTAAGCTCTTTGCATTTTTCTATGATTACATAAATGTTTGAATAATAGATCTTCGCTACTTTGCTTAGTTTTTCTGACTTCGTCTTGTTTTATCTTAATTCCTGAACGAAGTTTTCCTAATTGCGCATTTTCTAATCGACTGGCCTTCTGGGTTTGATATCTTTCATAAAGCATAAAATAATTAACTTTTGTTACTGTTTATTAACAAACCTCAATGAGAACAAAGTATTTTAAATGAAATTATGGAAATAATACAAATCATTACATACGGTTATGAATTGATTATACATTTTATTCAGTTTATTGTTGATATATTTTTGAATAGGTGAGAGCGGCGCATAAAGGTAAATTTGATAATAGTAATTATACTGTAAAAACCAAACCAACTACATCACAATAAATAATTCATATCAAATAAATAACTATCCAACTACTATCAGACAAATTCACCAGTGAAAAAATATGTTTTTGAAGTTTTTTTTAAATTTGTCCCATGCTTTTTTTCCATCATAGGCGGGATAAAAAAAGACAGTCAAGTCGCAAAAAAGGTACACCATTTTATTTCGAATTTTAAAGAGATTTTACGGAATAGTAGATACATTATTCAATCTATGGAATGTTATTTATTAGGTTGAACAACAAAAAATCAAATTATAATCTGAATATTTATTTTTAAACATAATAAACAAAAATTGTTATCTAACTGATCATCAAAAATCTAGCTTTAGTAAGCAAATATGGTTAATTTATTATAATCAGAGTCATTGTTTCCTGAAATACAATTATAAAAATGAAATATGCAATAACTAGAAAATGAGACAAATATAATTTTTGGTTGAAATACATATTTCATAGGTACATTTTTTACAAAGATCATTCAACGTATAACTTTCGTATAGAACTCTGTCAGAAGAATTCTTTACTAGAGTTCGAATAACTATTAATTTTCTTTACCACTTGTAATTTTTTCACTTATTTTACTTTGTATTTGTATTTTTATTTTATTTTGTATTTACTATTTCTTATTTAAAATATAGATTCTAGGAATGGTTATATAAAAATATAAATATATAAAAAATTGCTGAAGCTAACTTAGAAATAGGAATACAACTTGTAAAACAATTAAATAGCGTATACTTCGAAATCACATTTAGGTATTATAAATTAATTATGGAACCCAAAACCCCAGTTAAACTATCTATAAACTATCTACTATTAAATTTGATGTGAATATTGATACATCCGTTTGATTTTAATAACGACGTTGTAAAATTAAGACCGTGACTGATTATACATCTTTTTTATTCTACTTTAAAATAGTATGGTTATATAATTATATTCTTCATTGATTTTTGAGATTATGACACTGCACATTTTTACCCGCGGACCTTTAAGCCCCGCTGAAATATGAAATGAAATGAAAATATTATAAATTCATTACTTGTATCATCTTTAAACTAAAATTATAAAACGTAAAGGAAACAGAATTTATTTTATTTCGTGTAAATTTTTCAAATATGCTTGAATATTAATTAATTTACTAAATATATAATTATTACCTCATCACCTCTTGATTAAGTTTTTGTAACTCTGTCATATTTTTGAGTTGTTCCAATCGATCTTTGTAAGTCCATCTTTCATCATGCATGTTATGAAGATTCCGACTTTTCACGTCCAAACAAGTCTTACCCAGTGGCATTTTTATAAATTTATCAAAAAAATAAATAAATACCGCAAAAGACAACCAACCCCCAAACAATAGTTAACACTCACTCTTCTCCCACCTTAATAAATTCATTAATTTGAAGAAATTATATTATTATAATTTCGAATTTTTACTTCCATTTTTTTACCCACACAAATTTTTGGCAGATTTTGCCAACCCCAACCCAAAAAATTATAAAAATTTTCACATTTATATCTTTTACAATCCTTACATCATCCCATTAACTTTTTTGAAAAAAAAAATATACAGAAATAACAAATGAAGGAATACCTTAAAATCACGACAGATTTTGTTTGACATTTGATATCAATCATTTTAAATGACCTATATAAAAAACAATATATTGCAAATATTTGATTTTTTGGCAAAATAGTATATATAGTAAAATTTTTACATATTTTAAAAGATAAGGTGAGTTATAAATTTGTCGAAGGAAAAGTTTATATTTGACGAACAGTTTATATTTGGCATTTCATATCATTCAGAATCCTTTGAAACGAAAACTAGAAATCGTATGAGAAAGAATACAATTTTGTACTTGTAGTCGACGTTTTCTCAAAAACGGTTGTACCAATTTCAAAAATTTAAAAACCATTCGAAGTAAGCTAGCTTGCCAGATCGAGTCATAATTGAGTTGCTTCGAATGGCTTTTAAATTTTTGAAATTGGTGTAGCCGTATTTGAGATGACTATAAGTACAAAATTGGTTCACATACACCTCATTCTCAAATGATTTCTAGTTTTGGTCTCAAATGAGGAACAGCTGTTCCTCTGCAATTAGCAGAAAAATAATAATTGTAAGATTCAAAAAGCACAAAAATTCAAAAATTGTTCGAAACGTGGTAGGTTGGAGCTGTTTTGTTTTTGGTGCGATCGGCCGACCGTTTCATCGTAAATAATGTTAAAAATATTTCATTAGAATTTAAAGAAAACATTGCGTGCAATTCTAATAAAACTTAATACAGTACATGGTTTAGATTCTAGACTTCTGTTCTTCTAGACTCTAGAAGAACATCCTTAAATATTATAGGTCTACAAAATGTGTTTAAATTAAACAATATTCAGTAAAGTTTGCAATATTGGAGAGCGCTTTAAACACCTACAATTACTCATATTATGTCAATTTAAAATTCATCAATTGAAGATGGCATTTATTAGCTTCTAG